CTGTGGTGCCCAGAACCGGAAAGTGTTATTCCAGGGGAGGTCAAACCAAAGCAGAATAGAGGGGTAGCATGACTTCCCTGGATCTAGACACTATGCTCCTATTGATGCAGGCCAAAATCCCATTGGCTTTTTTTTGCTGCCACATCACATTGTTGGCTCATGTTTAACTTGTTGTCCATGAGGCCTCCCTGCATAAATGGTACCTAAATTGCCTACTTGACAGATGCAACTGTCTTTCGGGCTGCAAAGGTCAACAGCAAGATACACAAAGGTCGGGAGCTCACTCCGACCCGGGCTGGCTTCAGACTCATGACCTTTTGGTCAGTATGCAGCTGACTCCCAGCCAGCTACGCCACAGTCCCAGTGCTTCCTTCCGTTTAGACTCCTTTTGATGCAGCTCAAAATTCGATTGGCTTTTTTTAGCTGTTGCATTACACTGTTGGCTCATGTTGAACTTGTTGGCCATGAAGATTTCCAAGATCTTTCTCACATGGACTGTTGTCGAGCCAGGCATCCCCCATCCTGTATCTTTGCATTTCATTTTTTCTGGCTAAGTGAAGTATCATACATTTGTCCTTGCTGAAATTCATTTTGTTAGTTTTGTCCCATCTCCCTATTCTGTTCAGACGATTTTGAAGTCTAATCCTGTCCCCTGGAGCATTAGCTATCCCTCCTAATTTGGTGTCATCTGCAAACTTGAGAAGCACGTTCTCTAAACCTTCATTCAAATCATTAATCAAGATGTTGAACAGGACCGGACCCAGGACCGAACGCTGCTTGTGGCACTCCACTCCTCACTTCTTTCCAGGATGAAGAGGAACCATTGGTGAGCACCCTCTGGGTTCAGTCACTTAACTAATTACAGATCCACCTAATACTATTATTGCCTAGTCCACATTTGACAATTTTGTGGGCAAGATCATGGTGGATATTGTCGAAGACCTTACTGAAATCAGAGTTGGAATTCAGCCTGTGCTTGTGTTTCAGGATCATGGTGTTTCTGATGTGGGAAATGATGACACTGGTTCAAGATGGAGATGGTTTGGGCAATGATAGTCATGCAGAGAATGACAGAGAGACACCAGTTCAAAGGGCAGTTTCTCACGAGAATGTTCCTGCAGGACATAGGGATGATGGGTTACTCCCTGACTCAGTGAGTTCCCAAGATTCAGGGTTTGAAAACAACTCAGCACCTGGAGAATTTAATGAGCCGCAAGATAAGAAGCTCATGGACACACAGCTGGAGATCAGCCATAATAGTCAGGAAAGTCAAATGTTTCGTGGCTCCTCCAGGTTACAAGAGATGAGAGCCAAGAGCGATACCTGGGGAAAGCAAACCACTTTCTGAGTGTTGGAATATAAGGTTTGCCTCAGGCAGGCATGTAGCCGGGGGGGGGGGGGGGGGGGGCTTGGTGGTTCGTGAAAAGGCCTTACTGGTGCATTATTTAAACTGTTATGTTTATTCATATCATGATCTGATCACCCTACTCAATATATCCCATATGCATGGGGGTATTGGGGTAACGATACAGAAGGTTTGCTAGGGTTCTCTGTTCCTGGGTGGCCTTCTTGATCTGTTGGGATTCGATTGCAGAAGTCTGGACTTTGCCTTTGTATCGTGTTGACTCCTGTTTTGGGATTGCCTCTGCATTTTCCTGCACCTTGCTTTGGATTATTTTGTTCCTGCTGGTCTTCTACATTTTTGGGACTTCTCTGCTTTCTACAAGCACATATTTTCAACTGACTATTTTACTAAGCTTCCATAAAAAAGGATTGTTTTCCTATTCATCGTGTGGTGTTTTGAATTCAGAGGGTTATTCTTGTTCTGGAGTGAAAAAGTCAGAGTCCCAGGCCATTCCATAGTCATATTGCACATTTTCCATATTAACATTTCTGCAGTGCTCTGTTTTTCAAAAGCCTGTTCCCAGAGCCAGGTTTTGACTCTCCTTCTGAACACTAGGAGGGAAGGCCCTCCCTGATATCGCCAAGGAGGGAGTTCCACAACCGAGGGGCCACCAGTGAGAAGGCCCTGCCTCTCGTCCCCACCAGCCGCGCTTGCGAAAAAGGTGGGACTGAGAGCAAGAACTCCCCAGACGATCTTAATCTCTGAGATGGTTCATAAGGGGAGATACATTCTGTTGGGAGTAAAGCAATCTTGTACACATTTCTGAAGAGACACTTCCTATTTTATCCCTGCTGTATTGCGACCTCTTTACATTCCAATCATTGCCCCAATTTGAATATGTATGTAAGTTAATGACTTGACCACCATTTGAGATGTGTATTAGGTTACAGTTAACCTCTGGGCACATGTTTTGAAGGCTGTATAAAGAGGATGTGTTCCTTTGTTCCCCCCATTTGCTTCTTTCTCCCTCTGCTACCTTTCTGGTTCTTTGTTTTTGGATGAGATGTAACTCTTGGAGGAAAGACGGCCTGCTCACTACCTTAAGGCTTGATTCATTACTCCGACTGTAACCAAGTCGTATGTTACCAGCATGAAATGACAGCATGCAAGTTTTGTAAGTAAACTTTCTTTTTGCCTTTTACTTTTGTATCTGACGCTCCATGCAGTCATGCCAGCCACATGACCTTGGAGGTGTCTACGGACAACGCTGGCTCTTCGGCTTAGAAATGGAGATGAGCACCACACCCCAGAGTCAGACATGACTGGACTTAATGTCAGGGGACTACCTTTACCTTTACCTTTGTATCTGAACTGGTTATTTGTATGCGTATTTCTTTAAAGGGAAGAAAGTCACAGGGAGAAGGGAGCAAGCTTGTTTTCTGCAGCCCTGGAGACTAGGACGTGGAACAATGGCTTCAAACTACAAGAAAGATTCCATCTGAACATGAGGAAGAACTTCCTGACTGTGAGAGCCGTTCAGCAGTGGAACTCTCTGCCCCGGGGTGTGGTGGAGGCTCCTTCTTTGGAAGCCTCCACCACACCCCTGGCCATCTGTCAGGGGTGCTTTGAATGCAATATTCCTGCTTCTTGGCAGGGGGTTGGACTGGATGGCCCATGAAGTCTCTTCCAACTCTATGATTCTATGGTTTTAAGTGCGGCTGCTGTGTTTCTTTTTGGGTCTCAAAACTTTTCTTAAACCCTCAGGAATTTCTACCTGGCTCCAATCTCTAAGCTTCCTGATGTGTGTTTTTAAAGCAGTTAGTAAACCAGCATCTATCTGATGTTGTAATGTTTTTCAGTTTCATGCAAATTTTTTCTGTTATTCGGACAGGTAGGCTGGGTCAGAACCATTTAGGGCTTTATAGGCTACAGCCAGCACATTGTGCTCAGCAGCAAATTGGCAGCCAACAGAGCATATATAACAGGGGGATGGTATGCTCCTTGTACGCTGCTCTGTTTAGCAACCTGGCTGCTGCCCGTCAAAGCTTCCAAACAGTCTCCAAAGGCAACCCCACATAGAATGCGCTGCAGTACTCTAAGGATGTAACCAGAGCCTGGACCACCACGGCCAAGTCAGACTTCCCAAGATACAGATATATGTCTTTTAATAGATGGTTTTGTGTATTTGGACCATATTGTAGCCTTGCTCCTCTAGAAGTACATCACATATGAAGTCCTTTAATGTTTTTCTGAGGGTTGAATGAAAAGTAATGCCTCCACTTTCATTACTTGGGTGTGGATGGGAATATTTTAATAAATCAAACGCAGAAATAATCCTTAGAATGTGCTCTTTAACTACCACTATTCACTTTTCCACATAATCACCAGACAATTGGATACATTTCTGCCAATGATGAACAAGTTTTCTGAAGCCCTCAAGGAAGAAGTTGTTTCTGCAACCAGCGTCTCACAGAGTTATCTCAATGTCTTCATCAGAAGCATAATGATGTCCCCACAGATCTTCTTTCATTATCAGGAACAGATGGAAATCAGATGCTTCTAAATCTGAACTATGTGGAGGATGTCGTACGGTGGTAAAATCCAGTCTCTGAAGTCTCAAGTCTGTGCGCTTTCATTTCAGGCGTCAGCATCCTGGATACCCATCGTGCACAGATCTTCCGATAGCCAAGCAAAGCAATAATGTGACCCACACGTTCTTGTGAAATGCCGATTATGCTTGAAATCATCCTGAATCAATCTGTCAACCTTTTGCTTGTGAAACTCGATGGTTGCTATCACAGGACATCCAACTCTTTGCCACGCAAGTCAGATGTTCCCCCTCAACATCTTTAAACTTACTCGCACAGTACTCACACCAACACAATCACCATAAACAGCTTGCATTTTCTAACTAATCTCCTTTGAGGTGACACCTTCTACTGTCAAGAATTCAATGACTGCACGTTGCTTAAGTCGCATTGACCGGCCGTCTGCGCAGGGTTCCATACTTTGCACTTTAACAACACAACCGTTCAATGCTAAGGCTTCCCGCCAAATTGGAACTGTAGGAGGAGAGTCTACTGAACAAGCCAGTACCTGCTGCATACCAGTACTACTATCTGGTGAGAAGTTACAAAGGTGGAGGCATTACTTTTAATTTAACCCTCGTATGTAGAGATTGGATCCCCCAAGGAACAAAAATCATGTATTTTAATGTTTTATCCCTCTTTGATAAATAAATTATATTGTATTCCAGGCATGAATACAATAAATTATATTGTATTCCAGGCATGATCCAACTTGGGCCCTGCAGGTGTTTTGGACTTCAACTCCCATCATTCCTAACCGCCTCAGGCCCTTTCCTTTCCCCCCTTAAGCGGCTGAGGGGGAAAAGGAAAGGGCCTGAGGCGGTTAGGAATGATGGGAGTTGAAGCCCAAAACACCTGCAGGGCCCATTGTATTCCCTAGCCTTGTGAAGGATGTCAGGCAAAATCTCAAGTCAGAGGATGCTTTTCTGATTCGGCGTTTAATTCTGAGGTGTATGGATGGACCAGCTCTTCCTGAGACTCTTGGGTGGCTCTTAAAAGAGCCGTTGTTTTCTTTCTTTCTTTCTTTCTCTCTCTCTTTCTAGACGTGTCAAGGCGAGGTGGGTGGCTTAGCGTGCCCTCTGCCCGCTTGGTGGGCGCTTGTTGAGCTGGCGCCTCCTGCCAGGAGCGCCCGAGGAAGCCCTGCCCCGGAGGCCTTTGGGCTTCTTCACCGCCGGCTGCTTCTTCCTCGCCTGCTGCTTCTTCCTCTGCTTCCTGTCTCCTCCGCTCTTCTTCTTGGCCCTGAAGGAGCCCGAGGCGCCGGTGCCGGTCACGCGCAGGAGGAGACCGTTGGACACCAACTGGCGCAGCTCCCTCTTGAGGCGGTTGGTGTTCCTGTGGATGTTGAAGCCGGCCTCGGAGACGAACTTCTTGAGCGCGGCCAGGGACAAGCTCTTCCGCGGGTGGCAGGCCTCGAAGGCTTGGAGGATCAGCTGCGAGAGAGAGCCTGAAGTCCTCGCTTTCCCCTTCTTCTTGGGGTCCGGGGCTGAAGTGGACGCTTCGTCGCCATCGGCGCCTCCTTGCTGCGGCTTCCCGTTGACCATCCTGCCACCTCCTGGGAGCCGCACCGACTGACCAGAGAGCGCCTCGGCGAGCGGAATTTATAGGCAGCGTGGTTGTGACGTCATGGACTGACGTAGCCAATGTTTATCTCTCTCTCTCTCTTTCTCCCCCCCCCCCCCCCCTCTCCAAATACTCCAAAGCAAAGGAGCGGACCTGAGAGAGTTAGTTTTCACTCAGGTCCAGCAACGGACATAGAACGTTAGTTGTCACTCAAGGCCCTTCTTCACAGCCCTCTATCCCAGAATATCAAGGCAGAAAATCCCACAATCATAGAATCATAGAATCAAAGAGTTGGAAGAGACCTCATGGGCCATCCAGTCCAACCCCATTCTGCCAAGAAGCAGGAATATTGCATTCAAATCACCCTTGACAGATGGCCATCCAGCCTCTGTTTAAAAGCTTCCAAAGAAGGCGCCTCCACCACACACCGGGGCAGAGAGTTCCACTGCTGAACGGCTCTCACAGTCAGGAAGTTCTTCCTCATGTTCAGATGGAATCTCCTCTCTTGTAGTTTGAAGCCATTGTTCCATTCCTAGTCTCCAGGGAAGCAGAAAACAAGCTTGCTCCCTCCTCCCTGTGGCTTCCTCTCACATATATACATGGCTATCATATCTCCTCTCAGCCTTCTCTTCTTCAGGCTAAACATGCCCAGCCTTAAGCCGCTCCTCATAGGGCTTGTTCTCCAGACCCTTGATCATTTTAGTCGCCCTCCTCTGGACACATTCCAGCTTGTCAATATCTCTCTTGAATTGTGGTGCCCAGACTTGGACACAATATTCCAGGTGTGGTCTAACCAAAGCGGAATAGAGGGGTAGCATTACTTCCCTAGATCTAGACACTATGCTCCTATTGATGCAGGCCAAAATCCCATTGGCTTTTTTATCTGCTTTGAACTAGGTTATCTGAGTCCACACACGGATAATGTGGGATTTTTTGCCCTGATATTCTGAGATATAGGGCTGTATGGAAGGGCCCTCAGATATAACCCAGTTCAAAGCAGATAATATGGGATTTCTTGCCTTGATATCCAGGTATATAGGGCTGTGTAGAAGGGCCCTCAGATATAACCCAGTTTATATTCTGGGTTATAGGGCTGTGTGGAAGGGTCCTCAAATAACATAGCTCAGATATTGTGGGATTTTCTGCCTTGATATTCTGGGATATAGGGCTGTGTGGAAGGGTCCTCAGATAACACAGCTCAAAGTAGATATTGTGGGAGTTTCTGCCTTGATATTCTGGAATATAGGGCTGTGTGGAAGGGCCCTTAGATAACCCAGCTCAAAGCAGATATTGTGGGATTTCTGCCTTGATATTCTGGGATATAGAGCTGCGTGGAAGGGCCCTCAGATATAACCCAGTTTGAAGCAAATATTCTGGGATTTTCTGCCATGATATTCAGAAATATAGGGTTGTGTGGAAGGGCCGTCAGATAACCCCGTTCAAAACAGATATTGTGGGATTTTTTGCCTTGATATTCAGGGATATAGGGCTGTGTGGAAGGGCCCTGATATATAACCCAGTTTGAAGTAAATATTCTGGGATATAGGGCAGTGTGGAAGGGCCTTCAGATATAACCCAGTTCAAAGCAGATATTGTGGGATTTTCTGCCTTGATGTTCTGGGATATAGGGCTGTGTAGAAGGGCCCTCAGATAACCCAGTTCAAAGCAGATATTGTGGGATTTTCTGCCTTGAGATCCAGGGATATAGGCTGTGAGGAAGGGCCCCATATATAACCCAGATCAAAGCAGATATTGTGGGATTTTCTGCCTTGATATTCTGGGATATAGGGCTGTGTAGAAGGGCCCTCAGATAATCCAGATCAAAGCAGATATTGTGGGATTTTCTGCCTTTTTTTGTCATGTCAGGAGCAACTTGAGAAACTGCAAGTCGCTTCTGGTGTGAGAGAATTGGCCGTCTGCAAGGACGTTGCCCAGGGGATGCCCGGATGATTTGATGTTTTTATCATCCTTGTGGGAGGCTTCTCTCATGTCCCCGCATGAGGAGCTGGAGCTGTTAGAGGGAGCTCATCCGCCTCGCCCCATATTTGAAACTGCAACCTGTCAGTCTTCAACCCACTGCGCCATGATATTCTGGGATATAGGACTGTGAGAAAGGGCCCTCAGATATAACCCAGTTCAAAACAGATATTATGGGATTTTCTGTCTTGATATTCTGGAATCTGGGGCTTTGTAGAAGGGCCCTCAGATAACCCAGTTCAAAGCAAAAATTCTGGATTATATGGCTGTGTGGAAGGGCCCTTAACCTCACTCTTCAAACAAATTCCTATGGTGCACTTTGAGTATCCTTAAGGGAAGAAAGCAGGATATAAATACTACTACTACTACTACTACTACTATTACTAATAATAATAATAATAATAGCAGCAACAACAAAAAGTAGTTTCGTATAAAATATGACCCAAATATTCTTGCTTTGTAAGTAATAATAATGAATTGTGTTACTCACCTCTCAGGCTGGAGGTGGGCTACAACAAAGGGTGCACCTGCATTCATTCTACTAGAGCCCTATCTGCACTATTATGTAAAAATTAAAACTACGTCTCCTTCAATCCAGTTTATCTGCTTTAAACTGGATTATATGCAGAGACCTCATTGACACAATGAGTTAAATCCCATGTAACATCCAGTTTATTGCTTTGAACTGGATTATATGCGGGACCCCCGTTGGCGCAATGGGTTAAACCCTTCTGCCAACAGGACTGAAGACCTACACATAGAAGGCTCGAATCTGGGGAGAGCACTGATGAGTTCCCTCTGTCAACTCCAGCTGCCCATGCAGGAACATGAGAGAAGCCTCCCACAAGGATGGCAAAATATAAAAAACATCTGGGCATTTCCTGGGCAACGTCTTTGCATACAGCCAATTCTTTCACACCAGAAGCGACTTGCAGTTTCTGAAATCACTCCTGACACAGAAAAAACTGGATTATATGGCAGTGTAGACTCATATAATCCAGTTCAAAGCAGATCACATGGATGATGTGATTTGATAATCTAGATTATATGGCAGTGTAGAAAGGGCCTAATAATAATAATAATCGTATATCCCGCCTCCAACTCCCTGAAGGGACTCAGGGCAGCTTACATGGGGACCAAGCCCAGTAAAAACACAGGTTACAAAGTAATACAATTAAGAACACATAACTATAAAATATGTTAAAACAACAAAAACCAATAAAACATAAGACATCACAATGCATGAACCAAACATCAAACAACCAGTAGCCAAGTGGGCATGTGCAGCTTTGAGACTAATAGGGCAGGACAAGGGCTTGTGCAAACACAACTTATAGGGCCGGAGCTGGGAATAACGTGCTGGGGAACCAACCAGAAAATCAGGGCTAGAGAGACTTAATCAGTAGCGAAACCATTATTCAAAGGCACATTGAAACATCCAAGTCTTCAGGTCTTGTTGTTTATTCATTCAGTCGCTTCTGATACTTCATGACCTCATGGACCAGCCCACGCCAGAGCTCCCTGTCAGCTGTGGCCACCCCCAGCTCCTTTAGAGTCAAGCCAGTCACTTCAAGGATACCATCCATCCATCTTGCCCTTGGTCGGCCCCTCTTCCTTTTTCCCCAGCATCATTGTCTTCTCTAGGCTTTCCTGTCTTCTCATGATGTGGCCAAAGTACTTCATCTTGAGTATCCTTCCCTCCAGTGAGCAGTTGGGCTTTATTTCCTGGAAGATGGACTGGTTGGATCTTCTCGTGGTCCAAGACACTCTCAGAATTTTTCTCCAGCACCACAGTTCAAAAGCATCTATCTTCCTTTGCTCAGTTTACCTTATGGTCCAGCTCTCACATCCATAGGTTATTATGGGAAATACCATTGCTTTAACTATGCGGATCTTCGTTGCCAGTGTGATGTCCCTACTCTTCACTATTTTATCAAGATTGGTCATTGCTCTCCTCTCAAGAGGAGGAGAGCAATGACCAATCTGGGTTATAAATGTTGTTTCCTAATTGGTTCTATTATAAAAACATGGAAAACGTTTTTTGCACATTTTACTATAGCTTTTTAAAATGAATATCTATCTCTACCATTTCAGAATAGTTTGTGGTAGCCTCAAAAACAAAGTTTTTAGAGTGTAACAACTGCTTTCAAAGTAAGTACCACACAATGAAACAGGAAATAATACTTCCAGACCAGGAACAGATTTTTTTCATGTTGTTGTTGTTAATATCTCATTTTCTTATTTATTATTATTTATTTCCCATATTTATACCCCACTCTTCTCACTCCGAGGGTGACTCAGAGTGCTTACAGATTGGTCTTTTCAGTGCCACAATTGCAATACAAAGTTTATAAAATACAACACATTAAACAACAACAAAACAAACATACAAATACATAAACTGTTAAAAGCTGTTAAGACCATATAGCTAAAACCATGGTCATCCTTCCTGTTGCAACATATCAATTCTGTGTTGCACTATTCCCGAATGCCTGATCCCAGAGCCATGTCTTAACTTTGTTTCTAAAGACAAGGGAGGGTGCCAATTTAATACAGCCGAGGGGTCACTCCTGAGAAGGCCCTGTCTCTCGACCCTACCAGTCGCACTTGCGAAGAAGATGGGACCAAGAGCAGATCTTAAAGTTCTAGTTGGCTCATAAGGGGAGATGCGTTTGGACAGGTAAGTTGGACCAGAACCATTTAGGGCTTTATAGGCTAAAGCCAGCACTTTGAATTGTGCCCAGTAGCAAACTGGCAGCCAGTGGAGCTGCAGAGGAGTTGTATACTCCCTGAGTGCATGTACATTTCTCCAGTGAGGAATCTGGCTGCTGCCCGTTGGACTACTTGGAGCTTCTGGATAGTCCTCAAAGACAACCCTGTGTAGAGCATGTTGCAGTAGTCTATTTGAGATGTAACGAGCATGGACTACCGTGGCCAGGTCTGAGTTCCCAAGGTACTGGTGCAACTGTCGCACAAGTTTTCTTCTCTTAACAAGACTCAAAGC